GTTTCGCTTCATTCCTAGCTGGGCTGGAAGTTTGCTTCCTACAGGGTCCTGTCTATACTCTTCAGCCGACCCTTACCTCTCTGGACTGTGAACTCTACCAGTGCGTGATCACTGCAGCTGAGACTGCCTCCAATCCTGACATCACCAATGAGCTCACTTACATTGGTGACCACCAGATCCAGTACTGTGTCCCCTCTGGTAGGGCTATCTATTACCTGGCTTAGGAAATTGTCATCTATGCACTCCAGGAGTCTCCTAGATTGCCTACCGCCTGCCGTGCTACCTTCCCAGCAGATGTCAGGGTGGCTGAAATATACCAAGATGTTACATCCAAAAAAACCCCAAAACCAAAATGAAACAAAAGAACCAAACAACTTCAAGAGTTCTTAATTTTCCTTGCTTAAGCCCAAACTCTATAATAACATACACATTTAATGAGGATATTCTTACAGGACTTTACTTAAAGTAAAGTCCTATTAATTTTAATTCCTTAACTATAAAAACTCTTCTTAGTAAGGTTAAATGACTTTACAAATTATTTCAAATTATTAGTGTTCAAGGACTAAAAGTTAAACTGAAAAACAAATATTAGGAAGATAAAGCTAAAGTAGTTGATTTTATGCTGGTACATCCTGGATTAATATAAACAGCACATTAATGATCAAAACCAACCTCTGATGTACTGCCTTTTATGTTACGCATTCATTGCATTCCAGCATTTTAAAATAGCCAACAACACATCAGATTTTAAAAAAATATGCAATTTTGTTCTTTAATACCTAAATTTAAGCTGTGTTTAGATCTTTGATAAGTTCCTGAAGCTAGTGCCAGCTTCAAGGGAAAATTCACGGACTTAAAAATCCAACACGAAGCAACTAACATGATTTTATATTTAGAAGCTTGCCTGTGACAAAGCTGTTTGGGTCCATCTTCAATAGATAAAGAAAGTATATTTTTAGATTGAATAAACGTAAGATAAAATCATAAAGGGGAGTAGGAAGCTTGTAATTTTCACAAAAGTTTCTAGGTCAAGGTATAAACACACAATTATCATTAGGAATAAGATACTGCACTGGTAGAAACTGATGATAACCAGGTGCTACTCCCAAGAAAACCAACCAGCTAAAAACCAATTTTGGTGCATCAGTCTCCCAACCAATGAGCTGGAAATATTAAAAGGAAAGAAACAAATCACTGTTAACCAAACGCTACCTTATCCTTTTCTTTAAGAGGTCTAATAGTTACTTTAGCTGCAAAGAATGCCCTACAGCATTCGCGCAGTGGTGTAAATACTGAAACCTGTCAGACCTTTTTCCCCCCGAGACTGAGTATTCTTGTTCAGCGTTCTCTCCAAGCATATTCAAATATCATTACCTTTAAAGTAACATTTTTGTATGTTCCTACAGACCTTTATCTAACACGTTAACATTTACATGAAAATTTAGGTAAAGAGGAGCTAATTCATTTATCTGCTCTCATGACTTTTTAAATGAACATTTTACAGCAAACCACCACTAGCCTCCATAAATTTTTAACCAATGAAGTTTGACAAAATCGAGCAAGGGAAAAAGCACAATGTGGAAAGCAAACAGAGACAACGGATGACAGCACAAGAACTGCAAGAACTGAGGAACTGGACAGGGGAATTTTAAGCACTTCTGAAGGTGTCCATTTAATCCAAACCAAAATCACACGTTTTCAGCTGTGGAGTCACCTATCGTCACTAACACAATGCACACGGCCCAAGATGCAGTCTGTGCTGTTTTACCTGAACACCTCAAACAGCCACAAGTATCACAGGCTGAACTGATTATTTTATGAGCCTGCTTCTACTGCCTTCGTTCCTGAGAGCTCCACCTCCTTCCCCAGGCACACTGTCAATGCCACCATGTGACAGAGACAGGTTCCTCTGAGCTCTTGGCAGATGCACTCACATGACCAGGCAAGAGTCAAAGCACACAAGCACCTGAGCACCGGAAAACACTCCCTATAATCAAATCAATCCACTTTTCACTAGGCATAAAAATTTACTTTTCTAATAAAATGATTAACTTTTTATTTTTAAACCTACATAATTTGCAAATACATAAAACAGATTAAAATTTATAAGTTCAATTGATTAATTACCTGTTTCAGATCCCTTTCAGAAAAGCACATCTTTGCATTCCACTGACGCACAAGCATTATCCTCATCATTTGCATTTCAGTATTCACTCACATATGTTATCCTAGAATCTCTCATAGATAAAAATGGTTCAAGTGAAAGACTTATATGGTCTGAAACTAGCTTTAACCTCACTGCCTATATCTCCTTCCAAAATTTCAGAATGCTGATATGCAGGAAATTCATTATTTTACATAACATCGGAAAAAGGCAGTAAGTGGAAAAGTACTGCAAATAAATTATCCAAAGTCTAGTCATTACCTTAGAGACCTACGTTCTTCAAAGGTATAACTGAGGGGGAATCACCTCAATTCAAAAGGCCAAATTTTATTGTAAGGACTAGTCAGGTTACCTAAAGCAGGGAAGCAGGGAGACCCTTCCTTCCAACACAGACCTGATTTCCAGTGCTGTTTGATCTACTTTGTGCATACCATTTTGTTTCTCTTCAACCTCCAGCCAGCTTCTTCAGCTGCTGCTGAGATACCAACCACCGCCTCTTCTTGTGAGTGTATGGCATTTCCTACCAAATTCATGCCCGAATTTTAAATGAAGAATACTCAAGTGATCCATTATTTTAAGAACCCTAGTCATTCCCAGAAATGCAAGCACCTTTGTAGTCTTCAGAGCTGATCTAACATAAAACCATGCCATTTATTGGTAGATCTGTAATTGTCTGGATTTAAAAAAAAATAGCACAGCAGACTTTGGGTAAGGCCATACAGTGGATACCCTGGGCCTTTTCATGTCTAGCCACGTTATTTTTCCTCTGCAACTAAGCACTGTTATCTTCACTGCTTGGCAGGAATTTGCTGGCATGACCAATATAACATCTTCCAGTTTCTACAGTTGCAGGGAATATTCTCTCAAGGAAAGGGGAACGAGAAATACAGTTAATCACATCTGAATGCACACGACAATACTTGTTTTGAACACCAACACACAAGTGATACAGACAATTTCCTGTGAAGCCATCCTGTAGGTACTAAAAATATTATTATGGTATTCCAAACTGAGCTACGCACACTACACCCTGCTTCAAAAAAGTGATTCAGCAAAAGGAGGTGGGTGGTTCCATGGAATTAAAAGCTCAATATCAGGAATAGATGCAATAAGATCAAACCTAATGATGTATGAAATTACGTGTAACTTTATAGCACAGAATGAAGAAGGATAAGAGAACTTGGAAAAGGAGTAAGAGTGAAAAGTTTACACAAATAATAGATCCCTTACACAGAAAAATAAAACATTCCAGAAATAGAAATACAAGGACTCTTCACTGTGGAAGGGCAAAGATGATTCAAAATAACTTCTTCTGAATTATGAAATGGAAGATTATCTCTAATACAAATCCCTTCTCTGCCCTCCAAGTAAATAGTTGCAAAATAAAAGCAATGTCACCTGTGCTCATAAAGCAATCCTTGCATTAAAAAACATCCAATAAAGTACTCCATTTTAGTGCTCTCCAACGTATTTTCAATTTCAGAACCATATTTTACTACAGCAAATCAAAATTTACACTTTTGAAGACTAAAGCCCTGGTACTAAAGAGAATATAATTTGCATCTCAAACATTAAAATTGTCCTTATGTTCATTTAACTTTGCTAAAATATCATTTCAGGTCACCTATATAACATGGTAGACCCTCTTTCCACTCTACCCCTCTATAATGTGAATTGCCTACTATTTCTATGCTTTTCTTTTAGTATTCACAATGACAACATTGAATTAAAAATATACCATTCTGTAATCTGTACAAGTTGATTCTATAACAAATCTAGCAGGATATCTGTTGCCCTTGACACTAATTCTAGACAGTTTGCTTGAAAAACACATAAGTACAGCACCTTTAATTTATTAAGGTAGCGCCTTGTGTGAACAACCAAGAGATCTTCATCAGTAGCTTCCCGTGCCTGTACAATCAAGTCATCTGCAATTAGTTTTTCTTCTGAAACAGGAGAGAAATAACAATTGGCATTGTATACCATCATTTAACTTCCCATATTCCACCCGGCCAAAGAAGCTACTTTGACCATGATGTAGTAACTTCATCTGTAATGTACATCACTGAAACAACTTTTGTTTACTCAGTGTTTACAAATTTTGCAAATACATACCCTCTGTATATGTAAGCTATGAAGTCAGCGTGTACATAATAAATATTGTTCACATGAAGTTTTCAGTATGTAATCATGGTAACATCTTGTTTAAACTAAAAGAAAAGACATGTAGTGACAGAGGATGGCCGGACACAAAAGAATCCTTACAGTCTAGGGCTTGATACACTGGGGAACTCTTGGTGCTCATACCATCAAATATTCCCCACTCTGTAACATGCTTTAAGAAATTCCACATTTGATACTGGTATTTAATTCCCTAAATCTGAGGAGAATTTAAAAAAAAAAAATCAAAATTCTAAACAAAATAATTGCTTGGATGTTCATGGAAGTGAACGCTTACACTTAATTAGGATATTTCTGTCACACCTCTACCTCCATTTAATTTCCATGAAATACCAATGACCAGCTATTAATTCTTCCTCTTAGAGATCAAAAGAGAGTTTATTTAAAAACCTAGTTTCATAAAAGCAAGTTAGAAAATATCACTCCAAGATTTAAGAATATGATCAAAGATAATACATTCGAATGCATACATCTGGATATACTTAGGGTATATATATTATATATATATAATTTATATATAGGGTCAACTAAAAAAGTTAAGCAGTGCAGAAAAACAATGTTGCCTGCATATGATCACTACAAACAACAAATATAAGGCACCATGCCAATCTTTCCAGACAAATTTTGATATTCAATTGCTGCACGGCTGCAGCCTTCTAAGACTGTACCTTTTCTCCAATTTTATACTTGGAGGAGGAAGAGAATAACTCACAAAAGTGAGAGATTTTGTTCTGAAGTGTTATGCAAGAACAGCACCTGCAACAACATTTGTTTTGGCAAGCTTATGCTTCTCCTGACTAAGGCCTGAGAAACATTTCATTCATTCATTGGTGTCAGACAGAAAGCCAAACTGCAACAGTTACTTTCATTCTTGAGGAAGGAGAAGGTAAGTGTAGAAAGATTTTCACCAGTGATTTTCTAGAAGATGATAGGGAACAGTGTAGGTCAGCTGTTGCCAGGAGTTGCTACAGAGCCAGAGAAACCCAGGAGCGCCCTGGGGCTTCCTTCTGCTTTACAAAGCAAGGAGAGTAAAACAACTGGGAAAACTAATTTTCTGTGAAAGACTGAGAGTAAAGAAGGGACACTTCACACAGGAAAGAGCTAGAGGAAAAGACTTCACACAGAGAAGGAGCAGAAAGGCCAAGGTTTTGATCAACTAAGAAAATGGTCATGGAACCCAAAACTTAATTATTTAAGGTTGTTAGAGGGAAGATCCAAAACTCAGCTACTAAATGGAGTGTTAAAATGCATTTAACCTTGGTTAAATGAATACAAAGCAGCCTAAAGTCGGAAGGGCAATACTTAACTGCAAAAGATCATCAGCTGAAGGAGTCATTAGGAACCACATAAATGGAAGAGGCCTGATTCTTGGACAAAAAGCTCTTCCCAAACATTATCAGAATAATATCATGAGGTTGATAAAGAATGGATTTATACAAGCTGCACTTATCTTTCACCCTGAAAAGTGCCATTTGCCAGTAGACTGACTGCAGTCTAAGTTGAATACCTAAGTTACAGCCTGCAGCAAGCCAGTCATTAACACCTGTAGTTTCACAAGCCACAAGGAATGCCCCAGTTCCTGTTACACCAGGTGTAAAGCAATGGGAGCACAAGGCTATAGGAAGCTAGATGCAGTACTCCCAAACTGCAATTCAGGTTTTGCAAGACAAATTGTTTGTAAGCTTGCAGCTAGTATAGGAAGGATTTTCCACTCATCGCTACAAAACTGAAGTCTGCGTACTGTTTTAGATCCAGGCTTGGTCCTCGAAAGAAGAAACTGGAATTGCAAATAGCACCTATCCTCAAGAGGAAACTTAAAGGAAATTTTCTTCTCATGCATTAATCTAGAGCTGAAAGAAAGTGTTTGAATCATTAAAAACCTGTTGAGTATCAAAACGCAGCATGCTGAGCTATGTCCACAAGGCTCCAGCATGCTGCACCTAACAGGGGCTAAGCTGAAAGTCAAGATTCTGGTGCTCACATCAGAGGTGGAAACAGTTCTCAAATATCTCACATGAACGTTTGTTGTAAAGGCCAAGCAATGAAATTCTGCTCACTTCATGCTTTCATTCAAATTGCAAAGACCAGAAATATTTCAAGATGGTCTAAGACATTGCCATGCTCATGTTTCTCCTTACTCCTTTTTACTCACAGTCTTGTAATGCTGCAGGCCAGACCGAAATCAACCAAATTGGTTACTCTGACTTGTATTATTCACGCCTCTGGGGAGAGGAAATCATTTAATAACCTTCAATTATCAATGACATTTCACAAGTTTCACTCTGCACAGACACCATGACTGAGCCAAAAGCAAAACTGTCGGTTTATTTAGTGGAGCGAGCTAGAACATACATTTTCAAAGCACAGTGAAAACAAACCTTTGTATTGAAAAGCCCTAGTGTAGGATGTTTGCTCTAACGTTACAATTTCATCTTTTAAATATTTCATAGGCAAGATCTTCAACAATGTGCAACACATGACATCCAACTCAGCTCAGATATCTTATAATCAATTTAACCTGCTACGATTTAACTCTGCAAATATATAAAAATACTAAAGTAGTCCAAACATGGTTAAAGAGCATAGCTTAAGTCTACACAATGAGCAATGACAATGTACAGTCACTATTATATTGCTAATTATTAACATAAGACTGCACTAACTACATAATTTCTGTTAGCTTCTGTGCAAATGTTAGTCTAAGCGGTACCTTCTGTTATTTTACCTTTCAAGAAATTGATTACTTTTCCCCATTTCCCTGCATCGAATGGATGCAGTTTCTCAAGTCCCATGAATGTGATGTTGTAGTCTGGAGAATATACGATAGGCCAGCATGCTGATGGAGCATCCTCATACAACTCAGTTCTGTGAGGCCTTGAAAACCAAAAAACAAACTAGTCATCGTTTTTAGCAAGTATTTACAAAGTCAAATGTTTTTAATTTGTCATTTGGAAATTCCGTGAGAGTCCCTATTAATACCAGCTTTACATTAGGAATGATTCCTGAAGATGTTATTTCCCATGGTTACTGAAGGAAACACTTGGCTGTTGGAGACTGCTCTTCAATGGTAGGGTCAGGGGGAGTAACATCTCTCACTTCCAGACAGTTAAACACAAAGTAAGCAGTAGTGGGGAAAGAAAGAATAACTGAAGACTGAAGAATGTACATTAATGAATTATGCATCTAAAGTTCATTGCAGACATTAATTTAATGGAAACATTTGCTTCTCTTCCCCGCATCTCTCCAAGTTCAACGAGCAGCACCTCTATCTTAGAAGGTGCACCCGGTTTTGCAGGCAACATAACCTTCAACAAATACATTACTAGACTCACGTTTTAAAGTCTGTATCAAAACACAATTGAAAAAAACCAAACCGCTCTGCTCCTACACAATGCTTCTAACAACACAAGGTTGACAAGATTTCTAGGATCCTTTCCTAGAGTAACAGATTATTTTGTAACCAGCTCAGCAAAAGTAAAAAGGCTTGGTTTTGTATCTGCATAGCATGCAACCACAGGACATACTCTCAGCTCTAGATCTCATGCCTGTAACCCTTAACCAACACTCTCCTCTACCGCCTCTCCAAATTCTTGTATTCTCCAAATACAAGGAGAGATGGCACAGCCAGCTCAGAGCCCTCCTTCACAACCTGTTCACAGAACCAGTAATGCTGTGCTCTGCATTTACAAACGAACACACCGAGTATTCAGTGGACACCTGTGTGCACACACGGGTCAACAGGCAGGCCAAACCTCAGAGGTGATTCTCTGTTCACACTCAGCCTATTCTACCAGCTGTGGCCTCCCTTCTCTGCCCCAAACCCCGTGTTACTGAGTTACTCCAAGACCTCTCTTGCTCCCCTAAATTTAGTTGAAGTGTGCAAAAGGCTCTGCAACTTGCTGAGCAAGACAGAAGGGCCTTTTGTCAGGTGAACAATACAAACAGAAAACCCCTTATTTCCAGCCTAAAAGCTCATGCTCAAAAATACCCTTTCAAAATCCAGTTAAAAACTAAACAAAAAAAGCAAACACAAAGACAATGGAGGTTTTTCACCAGAGTCTGCAGTCCCGATCCCCACACACCACCCACAAACAGAGCCAGGGCTCCCTAGACCCTTCCCTCGTCCCACCCCGCGATAAAATGCGCCTTTTGCACAAGGCGATGTGCCACCCCCGGCCCCTCCTGTGCTCCCCCCGCTGCCTGCCAGCAGGGCCTCGGCACCGCGGGGGCTGAGGGAAGGGGACGCTTCCCCGGGGTCTCCCCCCGGGCGCTCCCTCCCGGCGGTCCGCGCCCTGCAGACAGTCCTAGGCCGGACGGGGACGAG